TTTTATTATTATTTTGATAAAAAAAATCACTAGGGAGAGCAGACAATAAAATAAGATAAAATCACTATTATATGATTATTATTTCCTGTTTGAAAAATGGAACATACTTTTATATATATAGGGAGAGCAGAGGGAGTAAGTAACTAATAAAGAAAGAAGCAAATGGGTGTGACAAAAGTGAGCAGAAAGTGTTGAATCAGTGTATCAGACAAACAGAACAGCAACATGAAAGGATCTCCTTCTGCAGATCTTCATCATCATGAATCAGATATAGAACTCATTGCTCCTGAAAACATGACAAAGTTAAGCAACTATGTTGACCATAACAAAAAAGAAAAACAAGAAGAAGAAGCAGAAGATTATGTTGAGGTGACCATGGATATTCAAGGTGATTCTGTTGCCTTACACAGTATGAAAACTATAACAGACATGGGCGAAAGGGATCGCGAGAAACTGAGTTTGACTGGGAAGAGGTTGGAGTCCAAGAAATCTTTTGGTGCTTCAGTGGTTCAGAATGCTACTATTCGTATAAAGCAGCTGAAGCGTTTGGCATCATTTGCTAAACCAGAACCAGCAAAACGACTGGAAAGAACCAAGTCTGCAGTGGCTCATGCTCTCACTGGACTCAAGTTTATCAGCACAACCGATGTTAGTGCAGGATGGAGTAAAGTTGAGAAAGAGTTTGAGAAGCTTACTGCTACCACTGACGGATATCTTCCTCGCTCTCTCTTTGCTAAATGCATAGGTATGCCAATCTACAATATTGCTCCAAATGTTTTTGCTGTCTCTGCGACCGCGACTATTTGAGTTGCATCAGTAGTATTTGACAGTACTTTGATCAGAATTATAGAGTAATTTCCAAGTGTTTCTTTTGACTTAATTGTAGGACTGAATGCGGAGTCTGAGGCGTATGCAGAGAAGCTTTTTGACACTCTTGCTAGGCAGAGAGGTATTCAAGGGGGTTCGATTAACAAGATCCAGCTTAGGGAGTTCTGGGACTGTATTTCTGACCAGAGCTTTGATACTAGGCTCAAAATATTCTTTGACATGTAATTCTTTGTTTTGGTTAATGTAAACATCTTGTTGAATGCTTTCTTTGACATGAACATATCACCGGCATTTGATTTGGATTGCAGGGTTGACAAAGATGCAGATGGAAGAATCACTGAGGAGGAGATAAAAGATGTATGGTATCATAACATTATTAAAGTAGTTTTCCATCAGTCAATTTTTTCTTGAATAACTTTTGTGTTTTATGTGATTTTGCTCTCAGATTATATGTCTGAGCGCCACTGCCAACAAACTGTCAAACATCCAGAAACAAGCGGAGGAATATGCGGCTTTGATCATGGAAGAACTAGACCCGGATGACACGGGGTATATTTTGGTAATAAAATGACAAAATCTACACTTTAATGTCCAGATTAAAATAACTATTTCAATACTATAGAATTGTGACATTAACCATTGGCCATTTTTGTAACAGATAGGGAATCTGGAGACTCTTTTACTGCATGGACCAGAAGAAAATACAAGGGGAGAAAGTAAGTACCTGAGCCAAATGCTGAGCCAAAAGCTTACGCCTATATTTGAGGAAAATCCTATTAAGAGGTGGTATAGAGATACCAAGTACTTCTTCCAGGATAACTGGCGAAGATCTTGGGTGTTTGCTCTGTGGATTGGTGTGATGTTAGGTCTATTTGCCTATAAGTTTGTGCAATATAGGAGAAGAGCTGCATATGAAGTGATGGGGCATTGTGTGTGCATGGCAAAAGGTGCTGCTGAAACACTTAAGTTGAACATGGCTATTATCTTATTGCCTGTTTGCCGAAACACCATTACTTGGCTCAGGAATAAGACCAAGCTAGGCGCTTTTGTTCCTTTTGACGATGGCCCTCAACTTTCACAAGGTAATTTTTGCTTCTGATTTTTTCCTTTATGAGTTACAAGTGAAGGGCATAAAATGAAGAGTATTTTTGCAGATGATAGCTGTGGCAATAGCACTTGGTGTAGGGATTCATGCTATTTACCATCTTGTTTGTGATTTCCCCCCGCCTTCTTCACGCAAGCAATGAAAAGTACAAGCTGATGGAGCCCTTTTTCGGACATAAACCATCGAATTACTGGTATTTTGTCAAATCATGGGAAGGAGTAACAGGGATTCTAATGGTTGTGATAATGGCAATATCCTTTACACTGGCCAATACTAGGTTCAGGAGGAACCGCACCAAACTACCTAAACCCTTTAACAAACTCACAGGTTTCAATGCATTTTGGTATTCTCACCACCTCTTCATCATTGTCTATGCCCTGTTGATTATCCACGGAACCAAACTTTACCTAACTCAAGAATGGTACAAGAAAACGGTTAGTAGCAACAGTAAACACCTTACTCTTGTCGTGTATATAATCGATTCACAGACACATAATCATATTATTGCGTGCTTTTCTAGACTTGGATGTATCTGGCTATTCCCATCACCATTTACGCATTGGAAAGGCTTATTAGAGCACTTAGATCGAGCATCAAGTCGGTGAAAATATTGAAGGCGAGTAACAAATAATTATAATGAAATATTATTTATATGATATAAAGAAACAAATGTTTCTCTCAGTAATAGCTTTTGGCAAGTTTGGAAAGTATAAAGGTCTCATTCCGTTTTCATTTGATTGTCAAATTTAAAGGTTGCTGTTTATCCTGGAAATGTGTTGGCAATTAACATGTCAAAGCCTCAAGGGTTTAGCTATAAGAGTGGACAATACATGCTTGTCAACTGTGCTGCTGTGTCTCCACTAGAATGGTATATTTTGTTTTTTGTTTTTTGAGAAAACATGTTCTATATGAATGTGGCATCTAAAAAACATCATATAATTTATATAGCTTAATTCATTGTTTATGCATTTTACAGGCATCCATTTTCTATAACCTCTGCTCCTAATGATGATTACCTTAGCGTTCACATTAAAATACTCGGTGATTGGACTCGAGGTTTGAAATCCAAATTCTCAGAGGTGAATATTATTATTATTTTTTATATTTATATCATGTGGTGTCTTCTAATTAACAAGCTTATTGTTTTTGTTTCTGTCAGGCGTGCCAGCCAGCCAACAATGGACAGAGTGGACTTCTAAGAGGAGAATGTTTGAAGGGAGATAACAGCCCAAGGTAGGATATATGGTTTTTGTTTTTGCAAGTAGGCTTTTTTTTCTTCTTTTTAAAATTTGTGATGATAGGTAACATGCAAAAACTATAGTTCGGCTTCGGCACTTGACATACTTTATAATTGTTAATAGTTTACTAATATAATCTGACTGTGGAGTAATTGACTATGGTTTTGAATGACTTTGTTTGAATATACACAACAACAACAACAACAATACAATTTATTGAAGAATAAGCTATTTAATGTCATGTTGTTGAAACGGCTTTTTAATTATTAGTATTATTAGGCACAAAATTACCACCTTTTAAGTATTGTTAGACCTAGTAGTTCATTTTTGGTATTTTGCACAAAGGACTGATTATAAGATAGCAAGAGTGTATGCTAGAGAATCACCTTCATTAGTTACTGGATATCACAGATCCAATAACTGAAGAATGTGTTTGAAACGAATTAAGAACATGTTTTTTGTTTTGTCCAATTTGGTTTGGATGTCAATTTATAGTTGCTGAGATTCCAAAGGCGACTTGACACATGTCCTGGTTTTTATAATCAAATGATTATGTTATTAAGGGGCCAACAAGACTGACTGTTATCTTGTTTTTTTCTGGACGAACTGTGGTTGTGATCTGAACTTTGAGGGGGAAAAATATATTAGGGAGATAATGACACTTTTTGAAAATTTAAGCATGCCATACAAACTCCTCACAGCAAATCCAGATTTTCACAGGTGGTGGTGATGATTGGAACCAATCATTCAAAGAGTATGATGAATTTCCTCTGCCATGCATATTACTCGTAATTAACAATTGCTTTTCAAGTAATTATATGTATATCCCTTTTGTTGAATGACAAAATAATGATTGTATGTTATGATTATGATATTATGTAGCACATTCCCTAGAGTTTTGATTGATGGTCCATATGGAGCGCCGGCACAAGACTACAGGGAGTATGAGGTAGTTTTACTTGTGGGGCTAGGAATAGGAGCAACGCCAATGATAAGTATACTAAAGGACATGGTAAATAATTTCAAAGCCATGGAAGAGAAGAAGGGTTTGCAATGGAGGAAGGATCACCAGTGACAAACAATCAGAAGGACACTAGGTTCAGTGACTACAAGACAAGAAGGGCATACTTCTATTGGGTGACAAGAGAGCAAGGTTCCTTTGATTGGTTTAAAGGGGTGATGAATGACGTAGCTGAGGAGGATAGAGGGGGATTGATTGAGCTACACAGCTACTGCACCAGCGTATACGAGCAGGGCGATGCTCGCTCTGCTCTTATTGCTATGGTGCAGTCTATAAGCCATGCAAAAAATGGTGTGGACGTTGTGTCCGGCACTCGCGTCAAGTCTCACTTTGCCAAACCCAATTGGCGAGCTGTTTACAAACGCATTGCACTTAATCATCCGGAAGCAAGAGTTGGTGAGTTCCCACAATTATTTATCTTTCTAATCAATCATCGATAATATGCTTTTGAAATTGGGATCCACACTTGAAAGGGTTATTAAACATAAAAAGGAAAAGGTCTGGTTCAAGTGAGGGTGCTTGCTTTTTTTTTATCAACATCAATAATGCGTTTACCTTTTCTTGACGTATTTCATTAAAATTAAGCTTATCATCATCATATCGCAAATAATGGACATCATGTTTATATAATGCAGGTGTATTTTACTGTGGGCCATCCACCCTGACCCACGAGCTTCGCCAGCTATCATTAGATTTCTCTCACAATACATCCACGAAATACGACTTTCATAAAGAAAATTTCTGATTACTATGGAAGAGCTAGTCCTCGACGAAGATGACTAAACTATAATCATGTATTAATGTCTTCACCTTTCTGTCGATAACCTAAAGTGTGTATCTACTTTGTACCCGTATGGTTGGTATAGCTTTGTAAAAGGATCAAGATATACGTGGGGGTAAACTGTTTGGTTGTGAGTTGGCTACCAAATACTAAAGGTGTTGTGGTAAGAATAAGCGTGTGTCGTCATGATTGTAAATTTAATACATTAAAGGAAAATAGATAACCATGAGAAGGATTTTTTTTGTTTTGTTTTTCATTTATATTGTAATCTCACGACAAGGGACCCAGGGAACAAAGTAAACGAGGAAGGAAATAATAAGATGCAGTGCAATTAATAGTTTGTATTTTAATTGATATGGTAATTATTTCAATTTATTTTGTAAATTTTGTAAAATTGATCATGAGTAAAAATTTGACATAAATTGTCTTATGTTAATTCACTTTCAATAAAATCAACTGTACAAAATAGATTAAGTTTTCGATTATATACGTAAGTATGTATTATAATTTAGTGTGAATTTGCAACCCAAATTCAAAAGTAATGTTTCTATCACCTCAACTTAAATCAGTAGTCCAACAAGGATTATTTTGAATAATGGAAAAAACATCAAAGTTTTCGCTATTGGTTATATCCTAGTAAAGTTTAATCTGAACTACTAATCCATTTGATCTTACCGGATTAAAGATGGATCGTCACAGCTGACTCGGGTAGAAGTTGAATGAGATGAGGGATATCTGCAAGACATTCCGATGATAAAGTAAGAAGCGGAATGAGCAAGCAAGTATGAGTTGAATATCTAACCCTCTCGGAAGAGAGGGTATTTATAGCCCTCATCACTGGACCAAAGTCTCTTTATTGGGCTGATCAAACAGGCCCAACAAAGAGACTGTCAGATTCTACGTGTGTAGTGGGGACCCGTACGTCCTGGATGACGTCCTCCGTAAGACAGGGAGGATAGGGACGCGATCTTTCCGAGACCATGAAGACTCTGCGAAATCCAGAGAGGTTGGAAGTCAGTCCTACGAGGGAGGTGCTCGGGGGGAGCGCATGCTCGTTGGAGATGGCCCATGCGAGCACCGACGGGAAGCAGTATTGGTCGACAAGACATCTGTGGTCGGGATATGCTCGAGGAAAATACTGCTCCACGCGGCTAGTTGTCATGTCTGGATTGGGCCTCACTGGTAGTTGGGCCACAGACAGGCCAAGTCCAGAACAGGAGCCCCCCAAGTCGTTGCTCCTGGTGAAGGAGTTATGACTTGATTCGAGTTTGCCCCTTCGCGAGACTCGCTGCGCGACACGGGGTTTTTCTACCATTGGCGGAAGACGTCGCCTAGTTCATGCTTTGCTTCGTGCAGTGGTCGAAGAGTGTTCGAGGAACACTCGCGGGAGGAGGATGATACACTAGTTAGACACGTGGCGCGACTCTTGGAAACCACAATGATGGCCTAGGGAGTAGGGGCCATCATTGTCTATGCGAGTAGATGTCGAGGAAAAGGGCGGTTTGTGATTGCCCGACGTGATGTTTCACATTCCACGTCAGCTCTATAAATAGGACTTCAGGGCCCATAACTTGTTTTCATATTTCCACGCTCCCATATTATCTCTGTCGTCAACACCACGCGTTTTTCCAGTATCATTGAGACTGCCTTACAGTCCGTCGTGTACTTATCTTAACAACCGTCGCTCCTCATTTTTCCTCCAAGTAAGCGTTCTTTTTCTTTGATATCTTGTGTGTAGATAGATTTTGATGGCGTTTAGTGGTAGGATTTCGTGTCTGGGGATTATGCCCGGGGAATTCAAGCGTTTTAGGCGTCTGATTCATGATCATGCCTGCGGCGTTCATACATTTAGGCATACGGTTTATGATCATGCCCGTGATATTCATGCGTTTAGCTAACAAATTTATGAACTTGGTCGTGAGATTCACCCTTTCGTTGGTATATGGGCTAGTTTTCCCCGTGGCATTCTTGTAACTGGCTAGCAATATTATGAACTTGATCATGAAATTCATCCTTTGCTCGCGATATTCTTACTGTGCCCGCGATATTTATGATTGATATAGACGTCCGCCGTTAAGGTCGGTGTTCGATCGAGGTCCGTGTGTTCCCCCTCTTTCGTGCGAATGGTCGTCGACTTGGTCTGAGTGTCGCTTACTTCTCCCCGTCTGTGTCGCGAAAAAGCGGATTTGCTGTCGAATTCACCGGTTTCCTGTACTTTGCAGGTAAATGGTCGATATTCCCGAATCCTCATAGCATATTGACACCGAGGAAACCAGCACTGCAGCAAAAAACATTAATCTGGTTGACACCGTCGACGACCCTACTCTGGACTGGGTCGGTGCGGAACCCCGAGGGATAGCCTCGATCTACAGCTATACCGATAGGCAAGCTTATATTATCGTCGAGCACGGCGGCGGCCAAGAGGGGTTCTGGAGAAATTTTAAGATCATGAGGCCGACAAGGGATGCCCGCATTTGCTCGGAGTTTACTCAGGACGCCTTCCCTATGTACGAGATTATATTTAAAGATATCAAGCTCCAGCTTCCTTTCAACGACTTCCAGATGGGAGTGTTCAATCACTTGAACTTGGCTCCCTCCCAGATTCATCCCAACGCGATTACCTTTATCCTGGGATTCGAATTTACATGTTGTTTCCTGAGGATCGGGGCAACAATTCCCCTGTTCTTTAGGGTTTTTCACATGCAACAGCAATCCCGAGGAGGGAAGCATAGTTGGGTGTCCCTTAAGCAGTCGAAAAGGCTGTTTAGGATGTATATGGATTATGTTCGGGATTTCAAGGATAAGTGGTATATTTTGCAACCGTCTATTCAAACAGTCGTGGATTCGCTGTTCGAATCGGCTGCCATGATGGACGAGGACGGGGAGCCATGTTTGGATTCTGAGGGTAATCCCGAGATTGGGAAAGTCTCAAAGTTTCCCATCCACTGGTGTTCGGGCCATTACGACCATGGACTTGGATATTACCACACTCCCGCTGGCGATATGAGCACCGAGGACGAGGAGGCTTATGGCGTCCTGAATAAATTTGTCGATAGTTTCTTCCCCGTTGGGTGGGTTATGAGGGAAGGAAATGACATTCTTGATAAGGATGGCGAGCCAACATTTGAGGCACGTCCGATCAACACCAAGGCGCTTGTCGAGTGCCAGTCTTATGGGCAGGCCTTAGAGCTCTTAGGTTGCTTGCTTTCTCTATTGATAGCCTTCTTTTTTTGTTTCCTTCGACGTGGCTAACCCGAGCACATTTCCTTTGCAGCTCACATGGAAGAACGTCGAGAGAGGTTGCTGAAGCTGACCCAAGATAAGAAGATCAGTAAGAGGTTGGTGAAGCCGCAACAAGCCACGCGAATGGGTCCAACCCCCGAGTCGGCCAGGGAAAGATCCAGTGGGTCCTCGGGTTCCCGTGACACCGAGCGCCAATCTGCTTTGATTAGCAAGAAACAGAGTCGACCAGAAGGTGGAGTCAAGGTGACCGATGGAGGGGAGGGTGCCTGGGCCTTCAGCCTGCCACCCTATTTTGTGGAAAAAGACTTCTTTGAGGGGTTTCCCTTGGTCGTATCCGACAACGAGACCGATATCATCAGTCGGATCGACAAGGAAGGTCGTAGGAAGCACCTCGTTGCCAGCATGATCGGGATGGTGAGAATGGCCGAGATGGCGGTTGTCCTTGCGGGTGAAGGGTCAGACTCCTTGGATCGAGTCAAAGAGCTGGAGTCGGAGAAGGTGACTCTCGTGGCCAAAATCCGCAAACTGAAGACTGCTCTTGAACGCTCCGAGGAAATGTTTCGGGAGCAGTCCGACGTGTTGTCGGGGGAGAGGAGAGGGTCGACAGAGCCCTCGAAGACAAAGAATTCCCCCAGATCGATAAGGAGCGGTTGGAGAGTGACAACTAACGGCTTTTGAGAGAGGTCGAAGATCTAAGGGATGCTATGCTGCCTGCGGAGAACGAGCCTGAAGGGGTGGTCGACTTGTGCACGCATGTTAATTTCATCGCTCGAATACAACTTCTAAAGTCGAACTGTGTTGATGTTTTGGCCGATGGCTTTGAGTCTGCTGTGAATCAACTGTCCATGCTGAATCTGGGGTTGAATACCGAAGGGACTGGGGTTTTGTCCCAGGTTGTTGATGGCCGGGTGGTGCCTTCTCCTCCTGACTCTCCTGACATCGAAGTTGGTACTCCGGGGAGTGATTAATGTTTTTATTGGTGTATTTGGGCCTGCATGTCCGCTGTTATTTTGGGGTCTGCGTGCCCGCTTTCATTCTTTTAGTTTTGTGGCAGTCGTGCCTAAATTATAATTTTGGACAACGCTGGCCCTTGTGGTCAACATATTATGATTGCTTTGTTTATGACTGTCTATTTGATGAATGCTTTGTTTATAGTAGTTATCTGATGAATAACAATATTTGATGTATGTGCCCGACCATTATCGTGGCTGTTATGAATTTTTCATGAAGTTTATGTTCGTATGGAGATATTCGTTCGACCCTAGTGTTGGTTCGAATCACTTCAAAATGTGTCGAGGGCGCGGAGTGGGGATCCGCGTGACGGGCATATGATCGTGATCGGGATCCTACGCTCATGGCATGAACTGCCCATCGCGAGCTGGGTGTTCTGCCATGTTGGGGTACTTTGACATCGGGGCTCGATCGAGGTGACCCTGTCGGGCATGAATGTTGTTCGTCAAAGTGAACTACAATATGCCTTCGTTGGTTGGTAGGTCGGGCCCGTACCTCGACTCTCCTACGTGGTCAAGCTTTTCCCTTCGTCGACTGAATGCGAACATTCGACGGCAAAAGTCCCCAGCAGGTGAGGGGCTTTAGCTATAATATTGTTTTAGCTTCGCAGCATTTCAGGGTCGCGGTAGTGGTTCTCCATTTAATTGCTCGAGATAATATGCTCTGGTTCCCGTAGCCCCCTGGACGTGATAAGGTCTCTCCCAGTTTGC